TATTTGTGAAATACATCGACCATACAGGATTAATATACCACATTTTTATCCAATTCAAAGAGATGTACATAGATCTCATCTTCTTATCTACCCTCACAACAACCCTGTGAGGTGAATTAGGCTGAGGCTGAAGGATAGTGAGAAACTCAAGGACATTTGAACCCAGGCCTTCCTGGGTCTGCTTTTGACACTCTAACCACTACACTGCAGTGCACAATAGACTGAAAAAGCAATTCACACATTGGCTTAAGTACAGGAAAAATATTATTAGTAATTACATTTGAGTGTGCTTCAAGTGCCCAGGCTAGCTGGATCGCATCAGATCTCAGAAATTGAGCAAGGTCGGCCCTGATTAGTTCTTGGATGGGAGACCACCAAAGAAGTTCAAGGTTGCTCCACAGAGGTGGGCAATGGCCAACCACCTCTGAACATCTCTTGCCTTGAAGAATTTACGGGATCACCATAAGTTGGCTGCGGCTTCATGGCACTTTTCACCACCAAGTGCCTATTCTCCAGCAAATGCTACCTTCCTTACAATTCTTATGTCTCTAAAATTCTACAAGGATGATTGTCATATATGCTGTGCCACTTAATAGATGAAGGTCTCTAATCTGAAAAAAAAAGTTCAGTATTGTTCAATCTCTGGGGGAAGGTGTAACTTTTGCACTCTGTTCTCTTGCCAAAAAATTGCTCAGGACCAGGGCTCTAGTCGGGGGGGAGCTCTCAGGTATGGAGCTCCGGAAGAGAACCTCTAGGGGGCGGGGCGGTCACGTGGTGAAGCCCCGCCCCCTTCTTCACCCCGCCCTCTGCTTCGATCCTCATTCCGTTCCGGAATGAGGACGAAGCAGGAGGGTAAGTAGCCGGGCCTTCTGACACACTTCCGGTGATGTCAGGGGGTGTGGCCTTCTGTCACTTCCGGTGATGTCAGGGGGCGTGGCATATGCAAATAAGTTATGCTAATGAGTTATGCTAATGAGCTCCGGCAGCTCTTTTTCTACAACAAGACCCCTGCTCAGGACCAATGAGGGCAAAGGTGAGAAGGGAAAATGGCATCACTCTTTAAACCACGAGAGACACCCTTCACACAGCTCTCTAATCAGCTAGAAGGAACAACACTTTCCTGACAATGTGCCCAGAAGGGAGTCATGGCAAGTGATGAGTTGGATCCAGCCAGCTTTTTTCACTCAGTCTCATCTAACTCCTGCCCAGAACACTAACTTCCACATCTTTTCTAAAAACTAACTTTTCCTCCAAAATCCTTCAACATCAACTCCTTCCCTACTGGCAGTGCCATCCTAAGCAGAGTTACACCCTTCTAAGTCCATTAAAGTCAACAGGCTAAGCAGGGTGACACTCTACTTAGGATTTCACCATAGAAGTCCTAGAGTATATATCAGGGGTGTCAAACATGCGACCCGGGGGCCACATCAGGCCCCCGGAGGGCTTCTATCAGGCCCGCAGTGGCTGTCTTCTGCTTCTTCTTCCAGTTCTGCTGCTGCTGCGTCATCGTAGGTTTGCAGCTTACAGATACACACCTGAACAGCATACTCAGGACTGCAACAGCACAGACATTTTTTGATGCAATAATTCAGAGCAAGAGGTGTCAATTATCAGACACTGTTAAATAAACAAAATATTGCAAGTGTACTAATGTTTTAAGCATGTTTTTATTTTAAGTAAAAAAAAACACCCTTTGTGTTTGTGTCCTTTATAAAGTTTATATCTCCGCTACCTGGCATTACATTTTTTTAAGACACACATGGCCTGGCCCAACAAGGTCTCATTTATGTCAGATCCGGCCATCATAACAAAATGAGTTCGACACCCCTGGTATATATCAATAAGAGGAACATTTATCCTTCCTCTTATCCTCCCCTGCATTTTCCTCCCCTCCATTATCTCATCTTGTATTAAACCTTTAGTTTATAAGCACTTCAGACGACAATCTTCTCTATCACTCTGTAAAGTGCTGCGGATACTAATGGCACTATATAAATACAATAATTTGTTACATTTAAAGGCACTAATAAACACTTGTATCCTTAACACTATTTTATGAAAGACACTGAACATCTCCCTCAGTATTTATTAATGTGTGATTCTCATCCTGACGTGTACTAAAGGAGTGAGGCTTTCCCCTGTCTTTTAGATGTGTCCCTTTTTTCTAGACAATAGTAGGGCTGCCAAGTCCCCCCGGGGGGCGGATTTCCCCCTGCTTTAGAGGCCCGATTTCCGCCTGCCTGCACGTCACCCGGAGGTGACGTGATGACGCCGGGCACGCTGGGGGCGGGGCCACAGCCATCTGAGGGGAAAACTCTATGCATGCGCAACAGACGCCATCCGGGAGCCCCCCGCCGCGGGGCGAAAACGACTTGGCAACCCTAGACAATAGAGATAACTGATCCCTTTGATTTCTGTGGAATTTACTTTTAAACATGGGCCCCAGTCAAGAGTTCAATGGATGCTACCATCTGTCCTCAGCAGTCCCCACAACTTCACTTCACTTTCACTTCAGTGGAAGTGGTAAGCTATTAGGGATGGCAGCCTCCAGGTGGGACCTGGGGATCCCCTGGAATTACAAGACATCTCCAGACTACCAAGGTCAGTATCCCTGGAGAAAATGGGTGCTTTGGCATTGTACCCCAATGAGACCCCTGTCCTTCCCAGGCTCCATCCCCAAATCTCCAGGGGTACCCCAACCTGGACCTGGCAACCCCCCCCCCCCACATCCCCTACCAGTGGCCAGGGGAGACCCGGCAACCCTCGTTGGCTCAGTGGAGGATTGATTTAGGATTGGGTGGTCAGATCATTACGTCCATTAACACACCAACTTTATTAATCTTGAAACAGAGGTTGCTTCAGTTTGTCCTCTCAGAATTAAGGAGCAAGTCTGAAGGACTTTCCGTTGGAGCTGCTACTCCTCCATGGCCAGCTCTGCAGGACTGCCGGCACCACAGACCTCTCCCTCACCAGTGTCAGGAGGCAGTTCAGAAACCTGTCTCTCCTGCCCCTCCCCACTCCCGGCCATCTTCTTGGGTGTTGATGTTGACTCCCAATCAAGCAGCCAACTGCCAGATATCCCACCCTTTTACCAGAAAGCATCAACAACCTTGGTACTCTAATAATAACAGTAACGACAGCAACAGAGCTACTGGAGGTTGATGGGTGTTCAACTGGGGCCCTTCCAGATCTATACAGAAGAAAAGCAATAACAGCCCAGAGGCCTCGTCCGGACTCAGCTGGTACTGAGGCAGCAACTGTATTCTCACTGTAAGATCAGGATTCCCTAGGCCTAAGAGCCATGCTAGACATGGTGGCCTCCTTGTGGCTACCTCGAGGATTCCGTTGCATTTTAAAGTCATTTAAAAATGCTGTGAGGTGTTCCGGTTTTACCCTGGTGCCTTTTCAAGTGGCAAAATAACTGTGGGTGGCTTGTTTCCCCTGGATGTTTTGGCACTTGAAAAGGTGTGTGTGTGGGGGGAAGAGCGCCATGCTGCCTTTCAGCATGGCTAAATGACTTTAAAATGACAACAGTGTCCTTTTGGCAGCCATGAGGATGCTGTCACATTGAGTTTGGCCCTAAGGCAACTAAAGTTGCCTAGACAATATAAAACCTTGGCAGTCTGCTTATCTCAGATGTTCCAGGCCCTCCGCTCTTGCTTTGTTTTGAGGACCCAGCCCTCCAGATCCAGTATTCCACGGCAGCAGCCTAAGTTCTTGGTCTCTCCTGCTGCTCCACATAAGGCCATGAGAGGCAGAACATGAAGGGCAGCTCGTGCTTATAAACTGTTCCACCTCCTCTATCAGATGGGGTTACCCTTAAGGAGTACCCACAGCTCTGGTTGTTCTGAGGTTAGAAAGAACACCACAATTTAATCTCTGCAATTCGATCTTGAATATATTCAAGGGCAGTTTTTTTTTTTAAAAAAAGCTCTGTTGAGAAACTTATTGCACCCAGCACTGAAATACCATTAGCACCCTCAACCCTCCTGCAATGGTGTCCCAATGGCTATCCAAGTTCAGGCCAACCATGAAATTAATCTCGACTTATCTGTGTTTTTTCGCTCTCTGAAATTAACTCAGTAATAACTGGGTATCTCACGGTCCTTAGTCAACATTTTCCTATAGTAACAGACTGTAATGGATGCTGCAGAATGCACTTTTCTGACGAGACCCCTGTAACAGCCCAGTCCTAAACCCTGTCTTAAAGGTTTCAGGATGATGACTAGGCATTACATCAGAATATCTTGGCATCTTGGCAATATAGTGGTATTAGGATCTTAGTTCTGAGCAGCTAGTCTTTTTAAGAAAGACTGCTAATACAAGTAAAGCAACTGGTATCTCTTGCGCAAGTCTGAAGAATGCTGCCTTGAAAAAGGACCACACAAGCCGTGCATGAAAAGAGACCTACTCTAAGCCGGTGGTACCTTCCATAAAAGTAGTAATTAGTACAAGAACACTAAGGTATAGTAATTTCTTATTCCTGATATCACATAAATTAGCTGATGTTGGTATCTTGGACTCTGCACACATACACACGTAATCAATTCAGTTTAACAGTATAATCAATTCAGTATAATCGTTTCCAGAAAACCAGGAGAGCAATACTAGAAAATGTATTTAATCAGTATGACGCTCCCGGCTATTGATGCCATGTTATGGCAAGTACCTTTGTTCCTGTATATGTTATACTCTACCCATTCCTCCAGAATTAACAGAAGTGCCTCATATTTTTAATGTACTTTTAGAGGATTCTAGGGAAATAATAACAATAAAGTTCTCCCCCCCCCAAAAAAAAAACTTAGCAGCTTAAATAAATATCCAGAAACACTAATAACCCCCATCTATGAGCAGTGTTCCCTCTAAGCTGAGTTAGTGTGAGCTAGCTCACATTTTTTTACCCTCTGGCTCACTCATTTTTGTCTTAGCTCAGGAAGGATAGCTCCAGATCAAACTGATTTATGCAGTAGCCAAATCACTTGCTCACAACTTTAATGCCAGTAGCTCACAAAGTAGAATTTTTGCTCACAGGGCTCCATAGCTTAGAGGGAACATCGTCTATGAGTGCAACGTTAGGAGGAGACACTGGGGGAAGAGATGGATTCCCTACTCCGCCTAGCCTCATTTCCCAACTCTGCATTTCTGCAAAGCCCAACGCCCATGTCAGATGCCAGCGGTTGATCATTAACGGCCATCCACACGGTATCCTTTGTTTGCATACAAAAGCCAACACGTCCACCATCAACATTCGTCACTCATCCTTTTTGGCAGGGCTGCTTGGCAGGTGCTGGGAGGGGTGAATACGGACGGGTCACTTATCCCCAGCTTCAGATCAAAGAAGCGGGTGGAGGTGGTCATACTGTAGTTCTTGGTGTAGGTTTCCTGAACTGGGTAACAGTCCTTCATTGTGTAAGCGCCAACCCAGGTTTCAACTGTAATAAAGCACAAGACGTTTTATGGGACAAGCATGAATAATTTTCAAGTTTTTAAGCATGCTGACATTAAAAAAAACAAAACCACTTCTCTGACATCCCCCTCCCCAAACTGAGGCTTAACGGTACACATGCAAACTCACTTTTTCTGGAAATGGCTTTCATTGGCTTCAAGGGCTCTGAAAAACAGCGGTTCTCAGCCTGCAGATCGGGACCCAAAGATGGATCATAACACGTTTTGCAGGTGGACCATGAGGCCAGGAGGGAAGAGGACGACCAGGGTTTGCTGGGAGAGGAGACTCTGGGATGCTTGATAGCAAATTTCGGTTTGTCGTTGCATAATATAAGAGGGCCCCCGACGTGGATGGCCCAGGCTAGCCTGGTCGCATCATATCCTGGATGCTAAACAGGTTCAGCCCTGGTTAGTACTTGGGTGGCAAACCACCAAGGAAGCCCAGGGTCACTATGCAGAGGCAAGCGATGGCAAACCACTTCTGAGCATCTTTTGCCTTGAAATCCCTAACGGGCTGCCATAAGTTGGGTGCAGCCTGCCGGCACTTTCCACCACCAATATAGGAGGCTCCAACATCAAAATGTTTTGAGAAGTACTGAAGTATGTAATTGGAAGCATTCTGGTACAAACAAAATAGACACTTGGCTTCCCATTTAAGCTGTTTTAAAGCTCGTATTGTAGTCAATGTAGTTTACCCTCCGAATTTCGGAGGGCATCCTCTTAATGATATTTAATAGTGATAATGGCCCCCTCATGGATCACTGCCTTGTCGTGGCGAGGGGGCTTGCGCAGTTCAATGAAGCTGTGGGCTATGCCGTGAAGGGCCACCCAAGACGGACAGGCCACAGCAGAGAACTCAGACCAAGCGTGATCCACCTGGAGAAGGAAATGGCAACCCACTCCAGTATTTTTGCCAAGAAAACCCCATGGACAGTATCAAAAGGCTAAAAGATATGACGCCGGAAGATGAGCCCCTCAGGTCGAAAGGTGTCCAATATGCTACTGAGGAAGAGCAGAGGGCAAGTACAAGTAACCCCAGAAAGAGTGAAGCGGCTGGGCCAAAGCCGAAAGGACCCTCAGTTGTGGATGTGTCTGATGGTGAAAGGAAAGTCCAATGCTGCAAAGAACAATACTACATAGGAACCTGGAATGTAAGATCTATGAATCAAGGTAAGCTTGACGTGGTCAAAAATGAGATGGCAAGACTGAACATCGATATCCTAGGAATCAGTGAACTAAAGTGGACAGGAATGGGCGAATTTAACTCAGAAGACCATTATATCTACTACTGTGGCCAGGAATCTCGTAGAAAAAATGGTGTGGCCTTTATAGTCAACAAGAGAGTGCAAAAGGCAGTACTGGGATACAATCTCAAAAATGACAGAATGATTTCTGTCCGATTCCAAGGCAAACCATTCAACATCACAGTAATTCAAGTGTATGCCCCAACCACTGATGCAGAAGAGGCTGAAGTAGACCGGTTCTATGAAGACCTACAACACCTCCTAGAACTAACACCAAAAAATGATGTCCTCATCATCATAGGGGACTGGAATGCTAAAGTAGGAAGTGAAAAGGTAACTGGAATAACAGACAAGTTTGGCCTTGGAAAGCAAAATGAAGCAGGGCAAAGGTTAACAGAGTTTTGTCAAGAGAACACACTGGTCATAGCGAACACCCTTTTCCAACAACCTAAGAGGCGACTCTACACATGGACATCACCAGATGGGCAACACCGAAATCAGATTGACTATATAATTTGCAGTCAAAGATGGAGAAGCTCTATCCAGTCAGTAAAAACAAGACCTGGAGCTGACTGTGGTTCAGATCATGAGCTACTCATTGCAAAATTCAGACTTAAACTGAAGAAAATCGGGAAAACCATGAGGCCATTCAGGTTTGACCTAGATCACATCCCTGATGAATATACAGTAGAGGTGAAGAATAGATTCAAGGGTCTGGATTTGATAGATAGAGTGCCTGAAGAACTATGGACAGAGGTTCGTGACATCGTACAGGAGGCAGCAATCACCACCATACCAAAGAAAAAGAAATGCAAGAAAGCAAAATGGCTTTCTGATGAGGCTTTACAAATAGCAGAGGAAAGAAGGAAAGCGAAAGGCAAAGGCGAAAAGGAAAGATTTACCCAACTGAACGCAGATTTCCAGAGAACAGCAAGGAGAGATAAGGAGGCCTTCCTGAATGAACAGTGCAAAGTAATAGAAGAAAACAATAGAATGGGAAGGACTAGAGATCTCTTCAAGAAAGTTGGAGAAATCAAGGGAGCGTTCCATGCAAAGCTGGCCATGATAAAGGACAAAAACGGTAGGGACCTAACAGAAGCAGAAGAGATTAGGAAAAGATGGCAAGAATACACAGAAGAACTATACAAGAAAGACCTCAATGTCCTTGACAAACACGACGGTATAATCACTGACCTTGAGCCAGACATCCTGGAATGTGAAGTTAAATGGGCCTTAGAAAGCATTACTAACAACAAAGCTAGTGGAGGTGATGGTATTCCAGCTGAGCTATTCAAAGTCTTAGAAGATGATGCTGTTAAAGTTCTGCACTCCATTTGCCAGCAAATTTGGAAAACGCAACAGTGGCCACAGGATTGGAAAAGATCAGTATACATTCCAATCCCAAAGAAGGGCAATGCCAAGGAATGTTCAAACTATCGCACAATTGCACTCATATCACACGCTAGCAAGGTCATGCTCAAGATCCTACAAGCTAGGCTTCAACAGTACGTGGATAGAGAACTACCAGAAGTACAAGCTGGGTTTCGAAGAGGTAGAGGAACTAGAGATCAAATTGCCAACATTCGCTGGATTATGGAGAAAGCAAGAGAGTACCAGAAAAATATCTACTTCTGCTTCATTGACTATGCTAAAGCTTTTGACTGTGTGGATCACAACAAACTATGGCAGGTCCTTAAAGAGATGGGAGTACCAGACCACCTCACATGTCTCTTGAGAAACCTGTATAAGGGCCAAGAAGCGACAGTTAGAACCGGATACGGAACAACTGATTGGTTCAGCATAGGAAAAGGAGTACGACAAGGATGTATACTGTCACCTTGCTTATTTAATATATATGCAGAGTACATCATGCGAAATGCTGGCCTGGATGAATCACAAGCGGGAATTAAGATTGCTGGGGAAAAGATCAACAACCTCAGATATGCAGATGATACCACTCTAATGGCTGAAAGTGAAAAGGATCTAAAGAGCCTCTTGCTCAGAGTAAAAGAGGAGAGCGCAAAAGTGGGCTTGAAGCTCAACATCAAAAAAACTAAGATCATGGCATCCGGCCCCATCACTCCTTGGCAAATAGAAGGGGAAGTCGTGGAAGTAGTGACAGACTTCACGTTCCTGGGATCCCAGATCACCGCAGACTGTGACTGCAGCCATGAAATTAAAAGACGCCTGCTCCTTGGGAGGAAAGCGATGGCGAACCTAAACAGCATGATAAAAAGTAGAGACATCACCCTGCCAACAAAAGTCCGCATGGTCAAAGCAATGGTATTCCCAGTAGTCATGTATGGCTGCGAGAGCTGGACTATAAGGAAGGCCGAGCGCCGAAGAATAGATTCTTTTGAACTATGGTGCTGGAGAAGACTCTTGAGAGTCCCTTGGACTGCAAGAAGAACAAATCAGTCAATCCTCAAAGAAATCAACCCTGACTGTTCCCTGGAAGGCCAGATAATGAAACTGAAGCTCAAATACTTTGGCCACCAAATGAGAAGGGAGCACTCACTGGAAAAGACCCTGATGCTGGGAAAGATTGAAGGTCAAAGAAGACGGGGACGGCAAAGGATGAGATGGTTAGACAGTGTCAGCGATGCAACGAACATGAAATTGAGCCAACTTCGGAGGACGGCGGAAGACAGGAGAGCCTGGCGGGAGATTGTCCATGGGGTCGCGAAGAGTCGGACTCGACTGTGCGACTGAACAACAAAGTGATAATGGGACTAGCAACAGGGAACTGGCCGTTGTTTGGCTCTAGCTGAATAAGAATCAATCTGAGACTACTTTCCAACAAACTCAGGGGCCATGGGTATATAGATCTAAGGCAGACATTTACATATGGGAAGGGATGCAAGCTAGATGTATATTTTATTGAACTACTACACTTCGATAGGTGTCTAAATATACAGAACATTCATTTTTAAAAAAACTAAGATGTGAAACAGTCTTTAAAGACACTATACCCCAGAAAGCCTGAAGTTTTGCGTAAATCCACATCAGTTATTTCTTAGGGGAACAAAAATAGTATTTGTATTATATATTACAAGGGGGCGGGACCCGCGATACTTGCGGGGGGGAGGGACCTCCACACATGAGGCAGAGGAGGAAGCAGCAGGAGGAGGTAAGTCCCCCCCATCCT